TTCCTCCTTCCTGGCTGCCACCCTGGCTGGGGAGGCGGAGGGTAGTGGAAGGGAGGATGAGGACACCCGCAGCCTTGACCCTTGGCGTGGGGGTGGGAAGCGCTGGCTGCCGGGAGAGGGTGGGAGGTGGAAACTGGACCCAAAGCCGCGGGGGCGCGCAGGGGTCCCGGCAGCCTGGCTGGGCAGGAGGGCGGGGGTGCTGGGGAGCTGGGTCTGCAAAGGCATCAGCCTCAGGACCTGGGAGCCCTGGCACCGCTCTTCTGGGTCCCGAGGTGGAGCGCTCCGGACTCTGGCCTGGTCAGATCAGGGCCCCAACAGGGTCCCCCCGAGAAGAAGGGCCTGGCTCAGCTTAGGTTTACTCACAGTACAGAGGTGGGCTGCTCGTCTGAAACGGGATCAGAGAGGTCAAGCCAGTTGTCTGAAGTCACCAGCTGGAGCAGCAGGCTGCTGTCTCCTCGGCCTCCCCTTGTCAGGGGCCTGGCACTGTGCCGCCTGAGGGTGGGTTTGCAACGGACATGATCACAGATTCTCCACGAGGGCGCAAGGCTCCTCAAAGCCGCAGGCCTCCCAGGATGGCCCGAGGGCCACGGTAGCCAGCTGATACCTGGAGGCACTCCCTTGCCTCTGTTATGGGCCAAGCCAGGCTCGAGCCACCCATCTACCCTGAGCACGGGGACAGCATGGCCCCACACAGGGCCCTGCCAGTCAGTGGCACCGCTTTGTGCCTCAGTGTCCCGTGCGGGGGGGAGGGCTGTGCTCACAGGCTGGGTCACCGAGAGCTGCTGGAGCCACCCTCCTCGGAGGGGCTGGGCCGCCCCGGAAGCCGGGCCTCACTGTCCCCTGCCCCCAGCGCTCAGCGGGATGGAGGTGCGGTGGTGCTCCACCTCAGACCCGGAGCAGCAGAAGTGCAGCGACATGAGCAAGGCCTTCCAGGGAGCTGGGATCCAGCCCTCCCTGCGGTGCGTCCAGGGCGCCTCCGCCGACCACTGCATCCAGCTCATCATGGTGAGTCCCCTCCTTCCGCTCTGCCACCTCCGCCCGCCAGACAAGAGGCCTCTGACTCAGGAGGGAGCACACAACAGCCTCATTCACTGGGACGGGCACGGATGTCCCCCGCCAGGGTTGGGCGATAGGATCTCCTGAGTTTCCCAGGTAACTAGGGCCAGTGTGTTTCCTGCCCGGCCCCAGCCAGGCGCCAGGAGGCCTAGGAGAGGCCCCTGCTCAGATGGGCGCCCGCCCGCAGCCGGGAAAGGTGTCAGAGGCAGAGCTTTCCTCCGGCAAGGCCCCTGCTGGACTGGGGACACTGCCCACCCCGCTGAGGGGAGCCCCACAGCAGACTCCTCGGTGGAGGGGCACTCACTGTGCCACGGAGTTTTCCGGATCCGGGCTTGTGGGGTTTCTGGGGAAGGAGGACCAGCGGACAGAGGTCCTGGGTGGGTGAGTGGGGGGTGGGAAAGCAGTTCTGAGAGGCAGGAGACCTGCTAACTCAGAGGCAGGACTTTAGGGGCAGGACAGGTGTGGGGGGAGCCTCAGGGGCAGGCACAGGGGCCCTGGGGTTTCGGTCCCCTCAGCCTTTGATAGGCCCCCAGGCCCTATCCAGTCCCACCTGGGCCAAGGGTCCGGGCCAGGTCCACTCTGAGGGCGCAAACCAACTCTGTTGAACTGTAATTCTGTTCATGGACGCCATGACATACTGACAGTATACTGCCGTTTGTGTTTTAAAAGAAAGAGGGGAAAATGGAAACGGGCATGCATGTATGCGAGTCAGTCTGCATCGTAGAGAGAAAACCTGAGGAGCAGGTTAGCAGGGGGCTGGGAAACAAGAGAACGAGGGAGACTCACTTTTCACTACGTACCATTTTGTACTATCTGATTTGTTACCATGTACATCTATTATAAGTCCTTTAAAATTAATATTTTTCAAATAACATAATTAGAAAAACAAGGTGAGCCCGTAGCCTAGGAGAGCTGTCCCCTGGGCCCTGGTGGGGGAGGGGCCTGCAAGGCTGAGCCAGGACAGGGTGGACCTCCGGGGCTTTTCAAGGGGC